TTTATGGATAAATGCTTTTCATCGCGGTCTTCGATGGAGATGTGTACTGCTCGATCGCTCGCATTTTCATGATATATACAAGGAGTATTCAGACAATATTCTAAACATTTTATCGACATTTCACATTCTGTGATGATTTTTTTACTGTTCCAGAACGCTCAAAATACATTGGTAATACGAATTGAATTTTCTATGAATATTTAGCGTTAGCTGGGAAGCTAATAAGCGGCAATACTATTATCTGATTTTCTCGATTTCATTAAAAATGTATATAAAGTTTGAATTTTATTAATTTTAGTTTGGCTTTTACTGCAAAAGACAAAGGTACGATAATAAGAAAAATAATTCTAGTTGAGCTGACATTCATCGTAATGTTTTATTTGATTTGTTGTTTTTATCAGTTCTTATAGGTCGCAACATATCGCGTAATATGTATAATTTTTTATAAGTTTTGTTTTTTTTTCCTCTCTTCGTCTGTTCAGTCTTTGAACAAAACTACTAAAAATAGACTCGATAAAATCAACCGCTTAAGCCTCTTTTTTAAATATCTCTTATCTTATTTGTCAAGCGCAAGCCGATGAGATCTGAGATGCAGTCGAGGATACATTGTATATATTTGAGAAGATAGAGAAGAACGTCGCCCTCTGAAAATTTCTAAGGAGTTCGTAGCATAATAATAATAGATGAAAACGTCACTCGTTTTCTAATTGTTAACACTTATTCGCTACGATATAAATGTTTTGTTTTACTAATGCAGCGACATACACTAACGATTTTGATATTGTGCAATTCACATTCCTTAATTTCGTATTAGATTTTACTAATCACATGATGTTTGGTTTTGTTTTGAAAAAAAAAGTCGCTGCAAAAAAAATTTAAAAAAAGAAATCACCAATTTTTTTAACAAAAGGCAACGTTCTCCTTTACCTACTATTTAACCATGCAATGCCTATGTAATTCTCGTCGTGTTGATAATACCAACATACAGAGAATTACGTAGACACCGCATAGTGTTAAATCCACATCGATATTTTTTAAAGTTAAAAATTGACTTTATTGTGGCAAAGACACCCTCGCACTGTCCCGTCGCACTTTCGCTATTCCAAACGCACGCTAATTGCACTTTACATTCGCAGCTCCCCCCCGTTTCTATCGGGATTTGAGAAAGTCTCACATTCACTATAAGGAAAAATTTCTAAATTTTAAGTGTTTAATGATCTTTTACGATGACGTGATCCTTGAATACCTACCTACATATGTCTCATTTTTCAAAAAATTTTTCTATTTTATAGAATCAATATCAATCCTTAAATTTTTTCTATACTACAAACTCATGATATCAAATTATATCCAATTTTAGTTAGTTTCAATCATTTCTATAAGTCGCCACTGCTCTTACTCAATATTTCGTTAATTTAACTAAAATAACATACAGATCAACAATTAGTATCAACAATTAGAGAAAATAAATCAATACAAAATTTAATTTTATAATTTGTTAATTTTCATCTTTATGTACAATATTATTTTCTTTCAATTTGAAAGAATCCTACGCGATTCTTGTAAGTCGAGAATCTACATCGTTTATGCATTTATTTTGATTATTGAATACGCCGTACGCGTGCGAGTTGGGCTTGTCACAATTGAGATCGATGCAGTATAATTGACAGTTAACATTATACGCTAATTAAGTGTCGGATTAATCTCATTGTGGCTTTGATATTGAATCGTCAGAGCGATGCAATGCGATTCAAACGATACCACTAATTAAAATCGATTAATTATTATTGATATGTGCACGATCGTTTTTAGTGTACATTAAAAATCCAATTCTTTACGAATGCAAATGTAATTATTTTTTCGACAATATTAATTCCTACTTTCATTACGTTTATCTGATTTCTAAATCGTTGGACCGTATCTTTTTATATGAGTTTCAAGCAATGAAACATTTTTTTTAATTACAATTTCCATTCGCATAACACTATAAAAGCTTATGGGAATAAATTTAGGCAGGCTTGTGTCCTGCATTATAATTAATATCGCAGTTTATTAAAATAATGTTTGATTATCTTTTGTTGATATTAGAACTGTGCATCAAACTCGATTCCATAGAATGAATTAATGAAAAGACAAGAAATGGCATTTGAGACTTTCTCATTCCTTCCATTCTGACATCCCGCTATTCTGACATCATAGTTCGTAAAAAAGCTCGTTTCTGAATGATTTTACTCTCGCTTTTTCGGTTACAAAAGAAGTATTGTCATTATTATCAAACCGTCATTTGCTATTAAATGCATCGCTGAAAATAAGATATAGAAAAAATAAATAGAATTTACTTTAGCCTAGTTGTCGCCTACCTGTCGGAGGTAGATCCTCGCATAGAACTACTTTTCTACTCATTGTGTTTTTGATATCGAGACTTGCAATTAGTTTTGATGTGCAGATTTTATAAAAAATTGCTTTTGATTTTCGGCTGCTTGCAAGGCGAATCGAGATCAAGGGCGGAATCTAAAATTTTGTGTGTGTGTGTGTGTGTGTGTGTGTGTGTCAATGACACAGGGGTTTTTGTCGTTAAAGCTATCGTCGTGTAACTCTGTAATTAAAACACTATACGAGGAGTCTACTTACGGCATACAGTATAGTGATTTCATTAATTAATAGCTTCGTTCATATAAGTTAATAGTTATAAATTGTCGACAGAGAAAGAAAGAATCAAACCGAAGGTGTGTAATCTATAACGGGGAGTCTCTACGAACAGTAACGAGACACACACTTCCTTTTAAAAATGTCTTCTCACTGCCAATATTTATAATATATAATATATATATTTATAAATGATAAGATATAAAGCCTTACATAGTACACAATATATAAATGTATATATTATATACGTATTATATAAGACTCTATATATTTCGTTATGTTAGGTATACTCTCGCACATTTTAACAAATCGATCTCGTTAGGCTACCCTCATCGTACAGTTGTACTTCTTTGAACGAAAGTTCACGTCCGCTTTTGAAATCCTATGAGATGCGCATATGATACATATATCAACAACATATGATATTGTAGATGGAAGGGGTATTTAATATTAAAGTATATAAATTAAATATACTAAAATATATATATAAAATAGAAAAATTCCGCGTCTACATTTTGTAAGCATTTTACCCCGAATGATTCTTTACTGCTGAGATAAAATGATGAGAAATTGCGATGAGGGTAAAAGAATCAACAGACGAGTGTTTTTTCTTTATTTCGTGATGACTAGGTTAAATTGACTAGAGGAATAGGATTATCGATTATTCCAATTTACTGATCGGCGATTAAACGCTGCTGTGAAAATAGTTATCGACAAGTGAATCGACTATGGATTGAGTATACCTAACCTTTACATTCATTATTTGTATAATTAAAAGAGAACACATTTGCGCATCTTTATTTAATCTAAGGGGTTATCACTTCGGACTAAATAAAACTATTATGGCAGATTTTGGCAGGATGACTCAAATAAGTTGCAAATAATAATTTTGAAATAAATAAAAATGAGTAGTAAGTATATAACGTTAAGCGAAATAATTCGCTTGAATGCTAGATTGTAACACTATACTCGAGTTTTCTTATCGATAATAAAATTAGTCCGCGATAACTCGATATGACGGGTTACTAAATTTGGCCGCTTCTAGAGTTTCTTTTTTTATATATATTACTTCCTATCGCCGCCTTTCTCGCGAACCTATTGTAAGATAACGAGGAAATCAGGACGAGTTACTGACCGTTCAAGACAATTTAGCTGAATGAACGAACCATACACGTATTGAACTTATTAACAAACAGAACATATGTAATCGCGTTAATTATTATTCGCTTCTTGGAGAATTATTTTCGCGCTAGGCCGTATTCATTTAACAGTCGATATGGCTGCTGAAATTTTCAAAAGATAACAGAACGATATTAACTTTAATATAAACGATGTAACTTTTCGGTGTTCTATTTATCTTCGTAATCATACGAATGTCAATAACTCATCCTGTACGCATCGATCCTCTAAACGAAAAGAATGATTTTGAAAAGATATCTAAAAATTTTGTTAGAACAAATCTGAAAATAATTTCGTTTGAAGTATTAAAATAATTATGTAGGATACTCAAATTAAACGCTACACACGCAGCATCGAAGAAAAAAAAGGGAGAAAAGGAGCGAGAAAAAGCGGAGAAGGCAGAAAAGACTAGGCAAAAGGAAGCAAAGAAACTGGCGAAAAAAGAGAAGAACATAACATACATACAGAAAAATATCATTCTAAATGTCAGTCTCTTCTAACAATAAGAAAAGAGATTACAGTTTACTTTTTTCTTTTGAGTAATGGTTATTTTTAACATAAAAGAACATTTTCTCAACAACAGTCTCAAAATATGCCTATTAATCTTACTATATAGAAAAACTCATCATATATATGTACACAAAACAAGATTTTGTTTATGTATTCCTTAAAATCATTATAAAATTTTATCGAGGAAGTGACCTTATATTATAAGCAAATCGAATTTGTTTTAATTTAATAATCTTGATTAAAGTATTAAACTTACTATAGGAATCAGAATATATTTTGAATAAATTAAATTAAAAATCTCCAGACATAGAGTATCATAATACAGCTATCCTAAAAAGTTCTCAGCAATTAAATTAAATTAAATTAATCAATCCAAGATATTTCGATGTCAAATAATGATATTACATGTTTCAGCTATAACATTCAGAATTATATTGTTCAAATTTAATTACAATAAATATATTATATTATATATCCCGATTTATCTCTTTTTTTTTATTTTTATAATTAACTCTTATATGCTCTTTCTATTACTTATATTGAAAAATTTAATGCTTGTAATTAACATACAATCAGCAGAACAATTTTTTCTGTGTATATATAAGATATAAGATATCGAAAAAACCGTCAGTCTTTGAAAACTTTTTAGAAGCTGTATTATGATGTTCGATGTCATGAGACTTTTATTCTATCAGTCAAACCTTACTTTTAGTCCGTCAAAAGAGGAACTTCCTCGGCTTCCTTCCGCCGTGCTTTTGTTTCTTTCTTCGCTCTCTTCTTCTCTTCCTTCGCTAGCTTCTTGGCTTCCTTCTGTCTAGTTTTCTCGGCTTTCTCTTCTTCCTTCTGACGGGCCTTCTCCGCTTTTTCGCGTTCCTTCTCCTGTTCCTTTTCTTTTTTTGACTTCTGCACCTCTTGGACTACCGACACCTTCGGCATTGTCGTTGGTCGTTTAGACACGGCGCGGTTGCACGACGACGCCGACGATGCCGACGATGTAATAGCGGATATGCTTCTTGAGTTCGGTGGTATATCCATCTGTGTCACAATCTTGTGAGCACATCTGTAAACGCATCAATTGCGTCACGAATCTGTCGCTTGACGAATCTCTCGGTCGATTGCTGAAATTGACGATTGCAAAGATACCTGATTCTAGTGGAGGCTTTACCAGCACGATAATCCCTCTGGAATTCACGGATAGGGGGCAATCGACGTTCCCGATTTTCACGCAAATTTTCCTCCTCTTCGGGGATTTGTTGAATAGGATCTTGGTACGACTACAAATTTTCATAAATTATTTATTCCGCCGATTTACGTATACATGAAAAAAAAACCGATTTTGCTGAGGTATAGTCTAAACATTTAGCGAAGTATACCTTAGAAAATAATTTTATTTAAAAATTAGAACGTTCAAACATTAGAATGTCAATATTTTTTGCAACATTGCTCATCCTGTTTGAATTTTTACATAATTATTTATTGGTTTAATCAAATTATTTTTAGATCTGTATCTAGCTAAATTTCTAAATACGTCAGCAAAATTCTTCTTTCCATGTACTCTAGAAAACTCATTTTGAAAAATATACGAGGGCAAGTCAATAAGTTCTTAGAAAATCTGTCAGAGGGCACTGCAGTCACTTTTTTTGACAAGTAGCATCTTTCAGCTGATTACTGTCAAATTTTGAGAATTCATTACGTGGTTTCATTTCTGTAGACATTTAAAGTGAACAACCTTTGTATTTTTTGCAAAATGGAAAAAAATGAGTTTCGTGCAGTGATCAAACATCTATATATGAAAGGTTTAACGCCGAAAGAAATCAAAGCCGAGTTTAATAATGTTCATAGCACATCTGCACCAGCGTTTGCGACTGTATATAATTGAGTGAATGAATTTAAACATGGTTATACATCCACATGTGATGCACCTCGTTCGGGACGTCCAATTGAGGCTGCCAGAAATCATCGATAAAGTCCACGATATTGTTTTGACTGATCGACGAGTGAAAGTGCGCGAACTTGTTGAGGGCACAGGCATATCACATGGTACAGTGATTTTAATTTTGCACAAACAATTGAGTATGAAAAAGCTATCGGCAAGATAGGTGCCGTGTTTGCTCACTGTGGATATAAGCCGTGTGACGATTTCAAAATAATGTTTGGAGATGTTTCAACGTAATCCAAATGAATTTCCGCATCAATTCATTACTGTGGACGAAACATGGATCCATTACTTCATACCCGAGATGAAGGAACAGTCAAAACAATGGACTTCACCGAGTAAATCAACTCCGAAGAAGGCGAAGACCGTGAAGTCGGCCGGAAAGGTGATGGCCACAGTTTTTTGGGATGCACGCGGTATAATTCATATCGACCTTCCGTCGAAGCAAATGGTCAATGGCAATTACTACGCAGCCTTATTGGACCGTTTCAACAATATTTTAAAGAAAAAACGTCTCTATTTGATGAAGAAGAAAATGCTCTTCCATCAAGACAATGCACGGGTTCACATGTGGCCAAATTCAACGAATTCCGTTACGAATTGCTTCCCCATCCAGCATATTCGCCAGATTTAGCCTCCTGCGACTATTTCCTGTTTCCAAACCTGAAGAAATGGTTCGGAGGAAAGAGATTCACCACCAGAGAGTAGCTCATCGCCGAAACAGATTATTTTGAAGGGTTGGACAAATTATATTATTCGGCTTGAAAAAGTTGGAGAATCGTTGGATCAAGTGTATGTATCGAGCTGAAAGGAGATTATATTGAAAAATAAAAATGAATCGATCAAAAAAAATGTGTTCTACTATGTTTTTCTAAAAACTTATTGACTTATCCTCATACCATTCTCGAAATCAAACTATCATGTTACTTTATATAAAAAATTATGAAATGTATTTTACGTCGAATATTATGATAAACTACTAACTTGAATTCGCATTTTCATTGATTGCGTCTGGGAACGTCTGAGAGTGGCGCCTGTGGGTTGTCGTATCCTCGTCGTCCTCGTCGGTTTGCTAAGAGAGATGCTACGCGCGGTCGAGGAAGTTGCCGAAGAAACGGAAGACACTCCTACGTGAGTGAATTGAAATTTGAAAGTAGTATATTTCTTTGCAGTATATCGTTTATAGTATATTTAAATCTTCATAGTAATTTGTATATTATTAGCAATTTATGAAGAGTATTACAAACCAGAAACTGATGACGAACCGCTGGCCATCGAATATAAAGAGGCAGAGGCTGGTACACTTCTGGTAGTTGCGGTTCCCCACCTGCTAGCAGATCTAGACATACCAGCTCCTGTGCCCATGTTATACTCTGACGAGCTTTGAGGGAATATCCAAGATTTACCCGGCAAATACTATAAGTTAAAATTATTGTAAATATCGGAAGTCAAGAAGGCACAATTCTACTAAATACATTGTATGAGTTTTTTTTCTAAATTTAATGAAATTGAATAATGATATGAGTTTTCTTTGATTGATTAATTGGAAACGATAACAGAAAAAATTAAAACAATAGAAATAAACTTGTAGTCAAAGATAACTCAACAGAAAAGAATACAAATTATATAGAGTAAAAGTAAGATAGGAAGGAGCTAAGCTCGCGATAACAGCGCACAACATGGCCAAAGAGTAAACTTGTACCTATTCGAGTTATTATCGACAATTGAGAAAATAAACTTCAAGAAAGCATTCTTTTCAACAAAAATGATTTTACAATACATAATCAATTTGTATTTCTTCTAGCGAAATATATCTAGAATGGTTATAATATTTTTTCCTATTTTCCTATTATACTGTATACATGGTTTACAATACATAATTTGATTAGGATTAGGTTATTATATACCCATGTTTAGTTAGAGTTAGGTTATTATATATCTATGGGTATTATATATCTATAGGTTATATATAATAACCTAACCCTAACTCTTCCCTAACCTACATATTTATCCAAATTTTCTGCTAAAGCAGTGAACTTGTGTTTGCTTGTGGAAAGTCGTGCACCACTAGGCAATGGGAGAAGTATAAGTGCAGTAAGTGGATATAGTTTAGAACAATTCCTGATGTTATATAGCCGAAATAAGACGTTATTTTCAAACTTTTTTGTTAATAACTTTTTAATAAAGGACGAGCGACGACTATAATTTGTTAGAGGTCACTCAGGATCATGACAACATATATCAAAGTTAAGGTCATTGAGGGAGGGATCCCATAGTCTAAAGATTTATCCAGATTTCTTGCAGGATTAGAAATTATCTAAAATTAGACAATTCCTTAGACAGCATGTTTAATATTAGGATATGAAATGTTATAAAGACATGATGTCCTAAAAAATGTCTTAATGACGTCTTTTCAGTCGACTCAAATTAAAAGTAACATAATGTCATATATTTTCGCATTCCATAATATAACTGTTATGTAACACTATGTGTTATATTTATATTGTAGAGTACGAAATTATAACATTGACGTTACGTTACTTTCAGTTTATGTTGCGTGTTTTAGACATGTTTTAGACATGATGCTCTCTAGATATGATATATTGGAATGAAAATTTATTTATAAAAGTTACATTTTTGTGAATACAAATTATTTTATATTTAAAGAATAATTAGCAACATGCCAAAACACCTTTGACAGTTAATCGTAAAAAAAGGTACGTGCGTCACGAATGATATCTAAAAAGGAAGGCGACATAATATTTTCAGCAATTTCGATTTATCGAAGTTGTTTTTTAATCTGTTACACAAATTCTATGTTACACAATTTATATTTGCGACTTTGAGAGTTCCGCTGCAATTAGCAGTTGATTTCGTCGCGATCATGCGGTGAATGTGAATTTATTGATTTGTATGTACACGAATGAAACAGTGTAAAATTAAATTATTAAAAATAGCGTGTAAAAATAAAAATTCAAGAAATTTTTAAAATAATAAAGTAAATGAGGGACAAGTAATTATGCGTGTGCATCCAAATACAAAAAATCGAGATGAAACGGGCATTATTGTCACTTACATCACGCGGAGGAATGTAAGTCTGCTTCAATCGTAAGATTTTCGCTCTGCATATAACGCATCTCAGCGGCAAAAGCCTCTGAGACACCGCCATTTGTATCGTCTTGACGAAGCAGCGTCTGCAAAACAGCGAAAACGGATATGAAGCCGAAATATAATTAAAAGAAGTCTTCTAAAATGTAAAAAAGATTAAATTATAACGTCGCAACACTAACGTGAAAAATAATTATTGTCTATTTCGAGCTTTTATTGTATAAAAAGAAAGTACATGCACGCACATATGCACACAGAGTGCATTTGAACAGATTCTAGAAGTCCTATAAGTAAAAAAGTCTAATCTTTGGAAAACTAAAAAAACAATCTAGTTTTTACAATTGTAATACTAAACAATTAAAGAAATGGAACATTAATTTCACACACAACAATGTAAATATAATATAATATATGTGTTATTGCATAACAATTACATTGTAGAGGGTAAAATTATAAGTGTATTACTGTATTAATTTTAATTAATATTTACAGGATAAAAAAAATTAAAAACATGTAAAAATGCATTAATATCTCTCTTAATATCTATACAAGAGATATTCAGTAAATGAAACATACACTTTTAAATTATATTTTTAAAAAAACTAGTGTGTATGTAAAAATATTGACTTCTGTGATATTTCTATAGAAAATAAGCATTTTCGTGTATATAACATTTAATTTTTTAAATTAAAAAATTCTGTAAATATAATGAGAGATTCCTAAAAAAAGATTTATAAAATAGCAGAGAGTTAAAAAAAATATTTAACCTTATATTGTCAAAAAACACACAGTATAGAAAAGTAAACGTAACACTGAGTTCCAATGTGCTAAAGCGATTTATTATTGGGTGTACTTTTACAGAGTATAGTAGAGAAAGAAAAACACAAAGTCACTATTTCTTATGTGAATGTGACAGATTTCAAGATTTGTAAATTTAATATCTAGGAAAGAAATGCTTGATTATTGTATGAAAAAAATTGTGTATCTATCTACCTTCCCTAATTTTGAACTATCTCCTAATAGGGTTGAATAAGTTAACTTTTTTTTTTTAACTAAGTTGAGTTAAAGTTAATAACCTGAAAATTTAACTTACTTAAGTTAATTTCTAATGAAATTAATTGATTTATAACATTTTTTTAGGAATTAAAAGCTAAGTTAATAAAAAAAAGTAATTGAAAAGTTAAAAGTTAAATTTATTTTTTTATTTTTTTATTTCAAGATTCCAGGGTTTCAGTCTTAAACAAATAATAGAAATGATAAATATATACTTCATTTAGAAAATACTCCATATTTTATTTACATGTTTTATTTATATATACTGTTTACATAAACTGTTATATATATATATATACTGTGATTGAATATTTTGTTCATATACATATATATTGTATATTTATTAAATTTAAGTAATAAAGTCATTTCGAAATGTCGGACATCTTTCCTCATAAGTTATCGAAAATGAGTCCTGCACTGAACAGTCGTTCAACGTGAGCCGAAGATGATATTGATATGTTATATTTTAATAATAAGGAATAATAGATTTCAACCTATCAGAAACTAGATATATCAAAATACACGGTTTCTGACAGATTGAAATCTGGGGCTCGATTGTACAATTTGAAATGAGGTGAAAATTCACAAAAGTGAGCAAATTTACTATATAATATTTATAATTTCAATGGTCATCTAATAAATTTGCTCTCTTTTGCAATTTTCACCTCATTTTAAGCTATCGCTATTGCTGTGTATTATGTCTGAGACTTAACTTAAAAAAAATTAAAGAAAAAATTAATAGTTACGAATAAAATGTAACTAAATTAAATTAAAATTAATTAATTTTTTAACTTTTTAACTTAACTTTTATCTTTTTAACTTAGCACTATCCAACCCTGCCTCCTATAATATCGCAATTTCAACAAAACTTAACTTATAGAATTACTGAAAAATTAATAATTCATTTAAAATACTTAGTGACGCACAAATCTATGCTTACATTAAGCTCATTCACTCACCTACAAACCACTCGATGCCCACATGGCGCAGTCTGCATCGTCGCCCTCGCATTCACGCATATGACGCACTGGAAAAAAAAATAAAGAGGCGCATTGATTGAACGCATGCGAATACGTCGAACGGTAATCTTTATTGGTAATCTTTATTGGTAATCACATATATGTTAATACTGGCTATTGGGAAAAAATCGCGGAAGAGCAAAAAGAAAAGATCGTACAACCGCTTTTATTCATGTTCATCACGAAGCGTGACTTTTATTTTATTTACATAGTTTTTACGCGCTTACACGTGTAATGTCATTAAATCCCAGGACGATGTAACACGTTGTTGTTTAGTGATCGGGATGGCTGCCGCAATAGGCTGCCATAATCGACTTAATGTAATTAGGCGTCACTTTAATCGAAATATTAATAACTCGAGTCAAGAGAGTGGGCGAACATTAGAAATCGAAGGGTTGCAACCGCCACTTTGTCATCGTCGTTAATCGACTTTTGCGACCGACTGGGTGGCCAATTCATTCGGAAATTGCGACTTTTCCGGACGGCCGGCTATATTTTGCACGATACAGATACTCTGTTATTTTCTTCATCGTGTAGCCTAATGGTCCAATCTAGCGTAACACTATGCAACGAACCGAGAAGATAGATACAATATCTTTAGCATTCTACAGAATTATATAATGTTTATATTAATATGGACTATAATTTATAAAATGTGCATTTATTTTTTAAAATATCTTGTAAATTTTATGAAATGTATAATACATTTTATGTATATTTTATGTTAAGCGCACATTTTTTAAATCTACCTTGGTTGCTTATGTGGCAAATTTTTCCAAATGAATTATTATGAAAGTTAAATGATTGAATGACTTTAATTTAATGAAGATATAAATTAATCTACACACATATGCAAATGTAATTTCCACTAAACTGTTTTTTATCGACTAACTTCAATTTATGTTTATGTAGGCACGAAGACTTTGATGTAATCTTTACAAAAATATGCTTTGTTTCTATAATTATATATAAAAATGATGAATTTCATAATAATATACATATCGATAAAAATATGTTAGATATAGAGAAGACAAAAATACACAATCAATCTTAAAGAATTTCAAAGTGTAGGATTAACAGGAAGAAATAAGGACTGTATTAATCGATGCCAATTGAGATGGAAAGAGTTAGTTTCTTTTTATATCCGTAATAAAATCGAGTGATTACGAGAAAGGGAAATTTCACTATTCAATTTTATTTCAATCAATTTCGCCATTTCAGAATAGTCAATTAGACAACTTATAACGCTTGCAAATATCGCTTTAAGAAAATATGCGTTCTTATTCGTACTTTCGATTCGTTTCTTACCTCATCTTCCTGTGAAGATGCCAACTCTGGTTCGTTTTCTTCTAGTTTTGTGAGCAATTTGTCCTGAAAAAGAAAAACAATTTCTTTTTAGTGATATTATATGAACAAATTTACAATAATTTAATTTTGACCCGACAATGAAAATGTCTGTCAACACACTATTGCAAAACTGTCACTAAGAGTCTGAATTTTTTTTAGGAAGGGGACAGAGATTATTGTGTTTATGTCGATATTCGTAGTATTAAAAAAAAGATATACGCAGGGTTATTCTTGTCCAATGTGTGTATTCTATGTTAATTATCTTATTGTTAACACTAATGTCTCTTGTCCAAAAGATAGCAATTTATTGTTGCAAAATTTATATATTGTAATATCCATAGGTATTTTTATTGTTTGAAAGAAGTAATAAACGTATCAAATACATTTTAAAAAAGAAAAAGAAGTTACCGAACCTCGAATGCGAAATCAATTCGTCGAAGCGATCGTTAAATTTTACGAATTTTTAAAAATATATAACTCGAATAACAAGAATAAAATCGCATGTTGATAAATGCCGCGACGATCATGTCACGTATATCTGGTTTTGGTTTCAAGAATCATCAAAAAATTAGCGTCGAAAAACTCGATGAACACTTCTGGTATTTCTTTTGTGAGATAAAAATTACTATAATTTAATTTTAAATTATAATTATTTCAAAGCTAACTATATAAGTTCTCTCTTGTTTTTGTTGTAGTACTTTGCGTCGTACGACACCTGCAGAACGCACAAAGTTAAGACAGACAGGATTCACTGATTTTAAATATTTATAATTAAAAAATTATTATTTCTCTTCAACATTCTGGTATTAGAATTTTCATCTTAAAATGATCTCAGAAATTTACACTTAAGCGTTGTTAAATCTTTACCCTGTATATACATTTTTTGTAAAATATAATTATTATTACTAACATTATAAGATAATAATAAGTATAGAAACAGAGTTTTTAATTATTCATAATTATTTTATCGTGTGATTATAATCACAAATACTACACTTTTTTCTCAAGTGTAAAAAAAAGTATTGCATGATAAAAAATCTTTTGCTCTCTCTTCTAGAAATAAGAACATTATTTTCGCACAAATAAAAAGTTCTTTTGTTCTCGATCTAACGATGTGTAAAAGTTTCACAAATACCGGAAGTGCAATAATTAAAACAACTTTATAATATCGCATCAATTTTTGTCTAGCATAACATGTTACTGCTAGCATTACCGGTTAGCATTAAAAAGTAGATCGTTATGCTCACGAGATAAAGGTATGAGAGCAACTACAAAATGATCAGCTACTGCTGATTCCTGCCAGTTTCCTCTCGAATCTGGCGTAAGACGATACAGTAAAAGGCTCCCAAGTGCAGTGCGTCATTCGAAACTTTCGGGTGCTCGACAATGCTCCCATCTTTTCTCGTGCCTATGCTCTGTCATTTGTATATTGTTCGAAGAGGTAAATTGCTACAAATTTGCTCGATATTTTTTCTAATTTCCGCGAGTGCCGGTTATTTTCATGAAATGGGTTGTAAAGTAAATTAAACGTGCATATTAATATTTCAATACTCTTCTCAATAATTATATTTGATAATCTTGTGTGTGTAACTAATATTTTGTTATACAATTATATGCTCTTATATAATTTATCAAAACGTGCAATTAACTCAGAAGAAGATATACGAGTAGGCGAGTGAGAGAGATATGTAAAAAAGAGTGTTTGTATATATATATATATATATATATATATATATATATATATTTACCGTAAAAACACTCTTCAAATAAATTAATGTCGGATCAAAACTAGATCATGCAATTATTCGCATGAATTTTTCGCACAAACAGCGTACATGATCATATTAAGTGCAATTCCGTTTTATTAATTACAGGCGATCGTACATGTGCCGGCGCGATTTATACTAATGATGTTAATGAGTAATAAAAGTGCCACAAATGCAACTGGACTCCGAGCAATTAGCAATGATGGATGATTCGTTAAACAAGAAATTAACGAATTTGGTAAACATGCTTTCATAACGGGAGCATTTGTTTTCATAATATGTCCGATTGCGCAAGCGAATAATCGACTATGTTAAATATTTTGGATCCTGTTTCTGTTTTTGTTCGTGTATTCTATCAATCAATAGCAAATCTTGGTTAGTTATTTTAATTGTAAATAGCCGGTATGATCATATTCGGCACGGTGTGCATCGCTTCTCATGGTTCTCATCCAACCGGAACGTACAAGATCGCTCGAGAAATTTAATATAATTTGAAATCAGGTAATCAGGACGCGTAACGCATTCTATACGGAAAATACATTCACGCGGTTAGCTGTACGCTACGATAAATTCCTGATACGGAGGCACGCCACGTGGCATGCTTTCTTGAGATAACTCGAGCTTTCCACAGAGGAATTAAAGTGCGAGCCCTTTTTTTTACACTACTGCAAATCCGGTGTAACTAGTGCGAGAATCGAGGACGTGCATGCTTTCACCTGGCTTAAAGTTAAAGGTCCTCGTTGACAACTACTATATCCAGTGACCCCTTAAACTTAATAGCAATTTAATGCAACGCACCGCGAAATTTCATGTACGAGTCTTAAATAATATAATTGAGCTGCAATATTTATGAGCAATATTTATGAGCTGCACGATATTTTGTTTTTTTTTATTAATCTTTCCATTCGGCTGCTCATATGTATATTTGGTTAATTTCTTACTATATTAATTTATTATTTTTCTTTCTACTATATTAATTATTTTTCTTTTTATTACGCTCTTTATTTTTTTCTGTTTGCATTTTATATCTTTTATTATCTCTTTATTTTATTTTATTTTTATTTATTTTGTTTTTTTATTATATATATAATTTATGAATTATTTATATTATTTTTAATTGTAGAAATTAGACTGATATCAAAAAATAAATCAAAAGAATTTTATTTTTTGTATTTATAATTTTATATGTATTATTTTGTATACGATAAAACGTCCATCTCGGAAAATCGAGAGTTCTAGATTCTGGCTGATTGTGAAATGTAGAATATTTATCGCAATAAATTTTTTTACAGTGTTTTAAGAGGTTTATTACCATTGTTATTAAATTGATGATTAATATGATTTATGATGTTATTTCCAGCTTTAATTTATAATTGAGTTTTAAGTTCAATAAATCGAATCAGTGCGCATTTTATAGAAGGAAACGTATTTGCAGATTTGCATATGAATATTTTTAAGCTAATATTAGTAACCAAGTTTTAGCCGAAAATGGGATTTCTCTTCTCTTATATTATTTTTTCTATTCTATGTTATTTTTCTTTATATATTTTATTTCGATTGTCTGCATATTCTTGATTGTCTGTCTATATATTCTCTACTGAAAAAAAGTTATTCATTTGACTAAATTAATTGTTTATTTAATTAAATTAATTTAGTTGTCTTTCTTTCCTTCATTGAAGAACATATGTATCTAAATCAAATATAATAGGTAGATTTAAATATATATGTACATATATTCTTCATCTCTCAAAAGAAATAAAGATAAATTATATTAAATCAATTAATAGAAATAAACTATCTTCGGCTAAAATGGATCTTAAATATTTCAGAATAAATTTATTATACATTTCTAATTCTGCAAACCGCGAAATCTTTCGATCTTGAAACGCAATCATGAACAGAACTAGAGTAGTAATATCACATATTAAATTGACAAATAATTTAATAATTTTTTATACTAATAAGCATCTTAGAAAAATATTAATAATTTGATGCTAATCTAAGTATCCTTAAGAACTATAAATAATTTAATTTATTGCGAAAAATATTACTTCAGCCGCAGGAATCGATTAATTTAGTCAAATAAACCATTTTTTTCTCGGTGTAAACAACTTTTCCTAGAAAGGATATTAATCCTCTGTGTAAACAAAGATCATTTACATCCAGACAATTTTTAAAATTAAGGCCATCATACGTACAAAAATTTTTACAAAACAATACGTACAAAAGTTGTAATCGTAAGGCCATAAGAATATCGCCTAATTACAATCAAGCGTTTTATAACATGAGAGATTGCAATTTTGATAATTTGTCGATTTACTTGTAATTTTACGACTAAAATTTTTGTACACATAATGGCCTTTATGAATATTTTGAAAATAAGTGAGTCGGGCGCCGTTTTAGAAAAACTTACGGAGTGTAATGCCATATTAACACTATAGACTAATTTAAGCTATGTCTAGGGGCGGTAAGTTTAGGGGAGAGAGGCGGAATTTTTTTTGAAAAAGTTCTAAAATATAACTATCATTTTTTGCTAGACGCGAATGATTAAGAAAATTGTCCAACGATCACTAGATTCGAATTTCACGATCTTCAATCGGTATTCATAATCCGTTCTTTTTTCAAGTAATCTTTTGATGCTAATACGACTCTCTGATTAGAGACCAGGGGTGCAATTTCAGAGATCTCGACGATCTAGACGTGACGCTAGATATTGAATATTAGCATCTTGGTGGCACATTTGCGCATACTAATGTAAAAGAAATATCAGCGTCCGAATTATGCAAAATATCTCACGAACAAGATTTTCTTATTCTGTATCACCTGTATGAACATAAATACTATACTTCGAATTTTTCTTTGTATGATCAAACTGTTTGATCAAAGGACCTTGTCCGTATGACGACGAGTGAAAAACTACTTAAGAAGTACTCACAGCAACGAACATAAATAAATACCTCAGCATTATTATGCATTGCAGCAGAGCTTAATCACGAAATTGATTATAATTGCACAATTAATGAATTTGCCATGAAAAAAGCACGTAAAGTTCAAATGTAAAAAAATAAAATGTACACATGTATACGTGAAAGTAATAAAACTAAGCTACTTCTATCTTTGCAGAAATGTTTTTTTTGTTCGTTATGAGCACATGATTGTTGGAGAATTGAATGGGAGCGGCAAGAATTTTACTGCAAAGGAGTGACAAAAACTTTAACCAATTTCCAACCCGGTAGGGTGGAGAAAGATGTCCGTGAAAACCTGGCAGTGGTCTGAGCGTCATTTCTCACTAAACGGATATTCGAAATCCAAACGCGAACATAAATGACCATGCATATCGTATAAATAAGAAAATGATCTTTTTCGAGCTTTGTACTATTTTTATTAGAAGTAAAATACATTTTAATGATCAGATTTTATTGATTTATTCAAAAATTACACATTTTTAAATATCGTACTCGCATTTTGATTTATGTATTTGCAAAAATAAAATATTTGAACAAATAGATTTGTAAAATTATGTGCAAATCTTTCATTTAGAATAGCTGAGAAAACTACATGAATTGTTTTTAACCATTTAATCCATTAAGAAAACATGCCGAACGTTAACGAGCCACGTATATACTTAAACGGCTACTAAAAAAATGTATACACGGTGAAGGTTAATAAACTCTTTATCTATTTTTCTCTATAGTTGTCACGTTAAAAGATATTGCAGTCTTTGTTTCGATGATACCGCAAACATTCCCACTGTTCGAAGAATAGCGCCGCATGAAATGCATTCTCGATGCAGCGTCATCAAACCGGTGCAAATTGCGAAGGCGCATAGTTGTTGCTTGGTAATGTTGATTATGTCGATAATAAAAAGTCTGACGTTTTGCTGTAACGGTTGTGCATAAGACGATGACCGACATTGCAAAAGTCCAATCTCTATATCCCCGTTCACTCTTCTCACCTGCTAACGGTTTGTTGGAAAAGATAACGTTTCTCCGATCGCAAAAGTTTCTTTCACGAATAGATCCTGTGGTAGCGTCAATCCTCGCGTTGATATAATCATTGGTCACGATTGTTTTCTGCGGTGGAATGTTTTGAGCGTGAGCAACCGGGCGTAAAAAAGCATGAATTATCATAGCGAAAGTGTAAATGGTGACCTATTTCTCGAGAGGCTACTTGAAAATGTGTTTAATTATCCCGTTACGCAATCGCGAAATAAATCCCCGTACTTCAGATCGTAAATTATATTTAGAGGCTTTTACTAATCGTAAAAATTGTTTATTCTGCCTTGATCATTCAAGTGTGTTACGTACAGTTTTGCAACCAGTAAATATCATGAGTTAAAATTTTGATTTCAAACATTTGCTGTACCGTCGAGTAATAATAATATTTATTTATTTATTTATTTTGATAATGTGAATACTTAAAAAATATTTTTTCATAAATTGATTAAAACTGTTGTTTGATTATAAATTTTCGTAAAAAGTCATTCATTTTCAATATTTTAGCGCTCGCTGGATATAAGGGGTTGTGAAGTGCAAGCGGACAAGCAAACTCGACAGCCACTTAATGTTTTCCGTGCAAGCTTAATTACATCGGAACACGACATCACGTGCGTTGCCCAAGTAGAAAAAAACAGCAAATTATTCTTATGTTTTCCTTAGCATTGTGTTGATACACGCTATCAAATAACGAGATATTGAATTGGAACAAAAGTTCGTAGCGTTACTTTATTTATATCACGTTTACACGTTTTTAAAAAAATTTGACAATTTAGAGTAAAGTTTTAATTTTAAAAATATATTTCTTGAATTGCAAAACAATGATTATTAACGGAGTTATGAGAAATCAAAAGCAAAACGCTTTTTTTATAATTCGCGATAACTCAATAACAAAAGATCTTCAGAGCATTAAAAAAAAAACAATTTTATAGCAAAACCTTTAAACTATTGTGTTAAAAAATCGAAAATTTTTTTCTGGGGAGGGGATGGGGTACGTGACAAGCCCATAAAGAGAAAAGGAAATTTCCCATTTTATTCACAGCTCGTACTTTCTATATGAACAAATTATCAAACTTACAGAAGACATAATAACCGTGAAAGTAAAGACCTTAAACTTTAAAACCCTTTTCTAACTTAAATTTCGTTCATTTTTAATGAAGTTAGAGCTGTTTGAATTTTTGTAGCACTTTCGTAACGCTATGAACTTAAGTTCCAATCCAATAGCTATAAGATGTACTTTGATATGTTTGTTCTTGAGTTTATACTTCACATGGAAGTTATGACGTTCATTGTTCGATGATTAACTCATTTGAACACAATAGCTCAATCAGAATTTAATATCAGAAATGTAGATAATGTTCTACATGGAAGATTTTGCTGAATGATTTAAAATTTTACTGAATACAGAAAATAATTTTGTTAAACCATCAAAATAATTATGTTGGAAAATAAGAAATAATGAGCAATGCTGCAAAAAATTTTTATATTCTAGCAACCAGTTTCCAAAATAAAAATATTTTTATAAAAACAAAATTATTTTCAGATCTGTATCCAACAAAATTTTTAATTTTTCAACAAAATTATTCTTTTTGAGTAGATTATTAAAATATTAATCGATTGAAGCTAACGGTAATTCCCCTTGACAAAGAAGCGTATCTTTAATCTAAAGTTAACATGGATCTGTGGCCCGGTCTCATCAACTCCGATTAAGCTAACCGGTCGATTAAATTTTAGTATTGCCAACTGCAAGACTGAAAATATAATCTAATTTTCTGGCAGCTGTGAAGAATGATGTGTAACAACAGAGGTCCCTATTGGATGGCAAATTTCTCAATCGCGAATCAGCCGAGACTAGCTTATGAGTATTCGGTACTTCGCCAGAAAAGGATTTTTTCAAATCTTGCAGTTGGTCAATTAAATTATCGAAGTTGATAAGACCGGCCCTATTAGACTCACTCAATTATAAATTTCTTTGTCAAGAATGTCAAACAATTCAATTTTCTTTAAGCTATATTTACAACTTTAGATTATTTTTTTATTAAAAGTATATTTTTTATTAAAATAATACTTACTAATGAATAATCTATTCATTTTTTATGTCATTTTGATTAACAAATGATGGTTGGATAGCGCGCATTTACACTGAAGTTACAGGCGGCCTATTTCAGATCAGGTCACCAAAAACCGAAGCCTGAGTTCTATCAGGTCAAGTCATCTCTCTCAAGTGTTTACAAGAGCAAAAGACCTAAATAATTTATTCCAAATTTAGGTTATAGGTTGTGATCTAAATTCATAGTAAACAGCCATTGTAATAGCCATTGCATATATCAATTTTGCATACATTGGCTAAACGTTGAATTACGTTCAATATACAATAAATAATTATGTATGGTATTGTTACTGATGCTGTAGGTGTATAAAGACGCCTCCTATAATACATATATTTGCTAATGTTGGCGGTAGCAAACGTTGGAAGTGCCTTTATACATCCACGACATTAGTAACTATTAACTATTAGGTGTTGGAATTAATTCGTAGCGTTTTTAATGAAAGAATGTTATTTATTTCACATGAGCATTAAAAAATACATTAATGAAAGTACTTCCCATCACTTGTAAAACGCTACGAATTAATTCCAACACCTAATATTATTTTGGCGACAACTCCAGAGGATTAAATGAATTGAACACAAAGGAAGTTAACACAGCTAGGAAACACAATTAGAAACATATTTACCTTTTAGATAAATATAAGTGCTTTCGCATGTCCGCGAAACCAAGCAATGTTCCTGGCTGTGTTCCGCGTGGAAACATTTTGCACGACGAGGGGAAAAACTAAAGGGATTTTTCGATAGGGTAGGTATCGCGCACCGACAATCTCCGTCGGCCATACGACACGCGACATAACGTGACCATCGCCAGGTTCAATGACGACGACCGCGGCGATTGGTCGAGGCCGACCGTCGTTGTCGTTAACTTTATGCACAATTTAGTATGGAAGATAGAAACGCATAGAGGGTTGAGCCAATAGGGCTTTTTGAAATATATTATGTGCTGACGGTATTTATCAAATGGATTTTTTAACCTGACTGAATCAATTGAAAAATAAAAGTATCATAAACTGAATTTAATATTTGCTATTTGTAATTCTTCAATCGAAGTCTCATACATATATCATGTCTTGTACGATCGCGAGATTGAAATTGATTAGTTCATCAGATTTCCGTTAAAGATATTATCTCTTCACTTTTGTTACAGGGGACACTATATTGCATCTGACTCTGCTTCCGACCGGTACGTGCTTCTATTGCTGCCCCATCCAATTGAATCGGGACGTCCAATTTCTATTGTATACCAGGTACATGTGCATGAATCAGAATTACTGTCGCAATAATATACCTATTCCACAAACGCTTTAATTGCAATTTAATACCATTATCTATCGTTACATTAAGACCAAGGAAATTTATTAAACGGAAATTAATAATAATTAATCAGAAATTTTGTTAATCTGTTAGTTCTTTAGAAAGATGTAAGCTAGATCGTTAATTAATCATTAACTAGAATTTGAAGATTAGTTTTCCGATAGTCCGTAAAACAACGAGTTCATCATCGATTGTATTAAATTCCACAAATTTTGCTCATCATAGCGACATTTTTCTTGCGTTTCGCATTAATCTACGACAGGCGGAATCCAACGTATCCGAATGTATTGGATTTTAATGATGTCACAACGCTGCGAAAGAGTAACTTCGACGATAAACACCCGACTATTATTTACATTCACGGATACAGCGACAGTAGTTCAGGAAAAGGTCCCATTAGTATACGAAATGGTACGTACCTTATAAATATCCAAAACCGATAAGCAGCATATCGCATATAAAGTTATTGTTCGCGGAAAAGGCTTTGACGTAAATGCATAAGGAAAATAGCGTTCTGCCAAACTCGACAGCGCTTCACTCACGGAAAAAGTTTTAAGAATGTCTGAAAAATTTGTGAAATAAATTTGAGTTTGTTTCACGAAACTTCGATGATGATGATAAATGTATGTGACCATTTCCAGCTTCTTGGTAAGCGCGTGATGCTACAGCGACATATCGCTCTGAATGCGAAAATAGGTTCTTAAAAGTCATCGCCATGCCTTCGTTTTTCTTTCTGCTCGTAAAGTTCGTGGTGAGCGAATAGGCTAAATCCATTAGTAACTATATGATCTACAGATCTACCTTGCTAAACCTCACGAGACTGTCAGAGTGACGAATAGTGGACACCATAACTTACCACAGTAAATTGTGAAGTTTTCCACTCTTCAGCGCACAAATCGATTCAATTCAACTTTTAGTGGCCCCAAAGGAATTCTTTGTTCATTCCTTGTTAAAAAAAAAATCTATTTCCTGTTTATTTGATTGTTTCTAAATTTCTTCCGTAAACAAACCCCGTTTACGGTCAAATTATCAAGAGAACGATGATATTATTTCTCTTTTTGAACTCTCTTTTTATTTTTTATGTGTAGAAAAACTGTAGTACTTTAAAGTTATTATTTTTCTATAATTTAATAATTTATATTAAAAATTTGATATACAGTTTTATGATATAAAAATTATCTTTTGTTTCAGCTTTGAGAAACAGCGGCTCAAAGCCGCTTTGTTTATTTGCTTAAAAAAGAGGAATTTTACTTCCTGCTTGTTTGGTTTCTTTTTAATTTTTACAAACATGGTTTACGAGTGGTTATCGAGTGAAGCGATTGAACGATACCTTTTTTATACTTTTTTATATGTACAAAGACTTTAGTATTTCAGAGTTTTTATTTCTACAGTTCATTAATTTATAACAATTTAATATATAGCTTTATAATTTAAACATTTATGAATCTAATTTGCTCTTTGTTTCAGCTTATCTGCGACGTGGGCACTATAACGTGATATTGATAAACTGGCCTAAACTAGCAGTCTTACCATGGTACATAACAGCAGTGAGAAATGCCAAAGTTGTCGGACCTTACTTAGCGCACATGATAAGTTGGCTCGACGCACAGAAAGCTGTACCTTTATCCAAAATTCATGTGATCGGCTTCAGTTTGGGCGCGGAAGTTGCTGGTTTTATGGGAAAAGCTTTGGCACCTCGAAAGGTTAGATACTGTAGAATCCGCTAATAATGATCACCACAGTTACACCGCATTGCACCGTTTGCTCGACTAATCGAAGGCCGCATTATCGGAACTGCATTAGTGCCAGGAGTTTCAATCGAGATGCGATATCGACGAGACCGACAGACTATATGTTAAGTGGTTTTGTGTGTGTGTGTGTGTGTATTTGAGAAACGCGCTTTTAGATAGGTAGAATTACTGGATTGGACCCGGCTTATCCGTTGTACATGAATACCGGTGAGGACGGTCACTTGACATGGGCCGATGCTGTCTTCGTTGATGTCATTCATACTGACGGCGGCAATTTTGGATTTCCAAATCCACTTGGCCATGTCGATTTTTACCCGAACGGTGGCGTGAGACGACAGCCCGGCTGTGATTTGAAGAGTATCGTTCGCATGGGCTTCAGGAGACTCATAAATCAATACAGTGAGTAACTCGTTACGATGTCGAGCCGCGCGCTCTCTCACTATTGTCGAGATCTTTCTTTCTCGAAATATCTCATTAATATCTCTTTTAATCCTCCAAAATTGACGGATGTATTGAATCCTCTCAATTATATTCTTTATGTTACATCAATAAACTTGAATTATTGATATATAATTGTTATTAGATTGATGTAAATAAAATGACGTTTTTCTACGTATTACTAATAAGAGCAGCCGTACTTCATTAAAAAATGACAACAAAATTTAAATTTAAAAAAGAATTTAACCTAAACTTAGCAATTCATTCTTTTTAATAAGAGTTTTCTCGTTATATAAGTTTTCTCGTTCCTTAAAATTAATTGGTGCCTTTTAATTGACATATGGTATATTAAATAAATATATTAAATAAATATTAGACATATATTAAATAAATTCCTAGATAGTATATGAATATACTATATAGAAATGTTTTATAAATGTTTATTTAGAATACTCATATATTCAATAAATTCTGAAAATATTATCAAACATTAATGATATCTTCATTTAAATGACACAATTATAAATGTTCACAATTATAACGAACATATTTAGAATATTTTATATAATGTTTTATACAATATTCTATGTATTTTTACATACGTCTGGGTCTGATCTTATCCATATTGTAAAGTTGGTACAATATGTACGCGCAATTTACTAACTCTACGAATATTTTGAGAAATATTCTATAAATGTTCTTTTTATTATGGATATGAATTTTTCAATAGAATATTCTATGTATTTAGTCGGAACAAAAATTCGTAGCGCTACGAATTACAAAATTCAAGCAACTTTGAATTTCGAAAATGAACGAAATTTAAAAAGGAATTTTTTAAATAAGTACACATGATATAAATAAAGTAATATTACGAACTTCTATTCAATCCTAATATTCATAAAACATTCGTTTGAAATATTCCTAAGGAATTCGTATTTTATAAAAATATTCATAAAATATTTAATGCTATATCTGAAATGGGTCTCACAAACTCTATCAGTAACTGCAATGTTACAAATTTTGGAGTCAACATTAGAGAATTAATATCGCGTTTTGAAGCATCTACATCACAAGTTTCACTAAAAATAAATCATTGTTTTCTGTTTAGTTACCTGTGGACACAATCGAGCGTGGCGTTATTACGCGGAATCAGTGGAGAACCCTTATGGATTTCCTGCAAGTCAATGTCCAAAATGGCGACCCGGGATCTTGGCAAATTGCGTGTGGAAACCTGAGGCTTACATGGGTTATGCAGCCGATACCAAGTATCGAGGCAAATTTTATTTAAGCACGAACTCACGGTCGCCGTACGCCATGAATTTGACAAGTCACAAACTTGGCAAATGAACGTTACCATACATTAATCTTAATTTGGATGAACCAGATTAAGAGGCGAACGATTTTCGATCGATTTTACCAGGATAATTATCTTGGATAAAGCTTGACAGTAGGAAAATATAAAAAATATTTTTTTGTAATTTTTATATATTTGCGGGAAAGCGTCTGTATTCCTGTTACTTCGGTATTCTCTATAAACGATTCATGGCTTCAATTAGTGTTACTTTTTCTTTGGAGAATTACTAAAGTGACAATGGAAGTTTTTTCCTCAAAATAACAAACAAACAGAGTTCGTGATAGAACATCGTTTGGTGTAACAATAAATCGAAAAGTAAACATAATATCGAAAAGTTCGAACTAAATTGCGATAAGTTAAAGAGAAAATAACTAACTTGTGTCGACTATTAATGTCATGTCGACTATTTTAATGTCAAACACTGTGATCTCGTGCCAGATAGCAGCACGTTGTTTACAACATTTATCGTTCTAACTTCTAACTCTAGTTTTAATTGTCAATGCTCTACGAGTAAACGTCACATGACTATATAGTTATACATCTATAACAGATGAAATACGTGACCGAATTTTGCAATAGCAGAACGTGACTTGCTGAATATACGAATACTCACTTTTATGACAACCGTCATATGGAAAAAATAACTTCAAATTTGTGTAGGTACATATTTGACTTATATTATTAATATACGTTGCCTCTTTTATAAGCGTGAAGAGTTATGCAAGCGTATGCAATACTAATCGCGCAAATAAATTGATATTGATTAATTAAATTTAATATCTGTATCTTTTTTTATAACGATGCTTTTATGTAGCGTAAAAAAGTATAGAAAGTTAAAATAGAATATCGGAATAAAAACGCTAATAATCGAGGAAGCAACTTGCAATTTTCGTGTTATTTCCTCTGCATCCTACCTTCGAGATATGTAAATTTCAAGGCCGAAGAATTTTATTATTTTCCATCTTAGGTAATCGATGAGGAAACCTCTGGAACCATATGTCCTTCAAACAAGAGGAAGCACGTGCTCATATTAAAAATTACAAATGACAGCTTGAGGGAATATCAATGAAGAATCAGGCGCATGTAGAAAAAAGTTGGAAATATTTAAAGAAACCCCGAACGTTTTGTATTGTTCTTGTTCTGCAGCAATCTAGAATTATGAAATGCAGTGATTCTCTACAACTATCTTCATGTGTTTTTAAACATTGTTTATGACTAAATTAATATACTGTGAGTTTGTCTCCGTTAATAATGTTTAAGAATTTTATCACTTATAGATGTCTTATAGATGTAGTTCGTCTTCTTAAGAAAGTATGGTTCCGCGAAACTCGTTCAACTTCATAGAACTTGCTGGCCGAACTTAAGTTTCGAGACAAGCCAATTGCACGTCGTCGCTAAGAAAATTCCTTCTGCCGTTTTTAATGCTCATTAGACGAAGATAACTTTTCCCGTCCTTTTACGGAAGTAACTTTCTCGAAATATCTTGCGAAAGACTTCTAAAATCAGTTCACGAAGATAGCTCTTCATTAAATTTTGTCAGTAGTTATATGGTCGTATTATAAGTTCTTTTAAAAATATATCAGCGATTCTGAAAAACATGTGGACTATTGAAGTATATAGAATGAAACAATAACACTAGTTAGACGAACTGTAGACAGAACAATATAACATATTCAGTGGTCGGAATGCAATTTCAAGGATCGATAAGATGATTTATGTACGACAGAAACATTTCCTGACTCATCTGGAAGATAGCACCGTGACCTTTCACGATCGCGTACCGTTAAACTGCATTGTTCGATTTCGGAATACATTTCATAGACTGAGCAATGAGGCAATGTAATCAAGCGCGTGGAAAAAAATCGCGCATTGTCTTTTAAAGCGGAAAAGAGAATTCCCTTTCTCTTTCTCTCGAGAAAGAGACGTTGAGGAGAATCGACAGGGTTGAAAATACGGTAAGTCTTAGAATCACGAACGACATAGACTCCGTGGGATCCGGCCGGCGGTCAATCAACCCGACATGTACACTGAAAAATTCAGTACGACGGGCAGGTCGATAAGAATCCAATGGCCAGGGTTATAGATGACCCTAGTCTTGAAAGACCACGTTACGTGGAAGGTGTAAGGCGGTTTTCGCAGTCTACGCTTCAGCACGTTCGACCGTGCTCGGTGTTGGTTCCTTCTCTCTCGGGGAGAAGCTCCCTCGAGTATCGTTACCAGCTATATTTTATCATGGTTATACATATACAGCACGTATGAAGTTTCTGTTTATTTTCACTATTATTTAGAATTTATCGGTTTAAAAACAATTTTTTTCGACAGAATTAAATTTGGCATTGTCCGTTTTCAAAATTTAAATTTATTAATTTATTAATTTTATGATTTTGCTTTGTTCTTTTCTCTATGACTGATAGACATTTTCGCATCTTTTTTGCAAAATGTTTAAAAATTCATAAGTTCAATTACTGTCTAGAAATTTAATACTGAAAGGTAGTAATTAATTGCTTATTTTTAATATTAATACAATCACTAATGATTATAAGACCCACTTAATCTATGTTAATTATTTTCAAGGAAGCAAAATAAAAAGTTGTATTAAAAAAATTAATGTTAAATTTATTTCAATAAGAATAATTTAAATTGTAGATGTAACATAAAGAAAATTGAATTGTTTAATTTTTGGACATGGAAATTTGTAATTGATTCTCCGTCAATTATAAATTTCAATTATAAATTTCTTTGTCAAACAATTCAATTTTCTAATTATTTTTATTAAAATAGACTCACTACTAATAAATTCATTATCAACTCAAGGATATGTATTATATAATTGAATAGGTCCAGAAAACCTACATATGTCAAATTCACAGAATTAGAAACACTATTATTCAATGCTTTTAATATTTAAAAATTATTAATAATTATTTTTTTAGTATTAAAATTAGCCAATATAAAAATTTCTGTATAGAATATAATGGATAAAGAGCTTATTTCTTAATATTCGCGCGGAATTTTCTTTGCTAGTCAACGAAGAAATAGAACTATCTCTCGCGGTTATCGTCGTCGTTCATACACTTTGCGAATCGATGAAACGAACTAACGTCGGTGGTTTCCGCGCTGCTAAAATCGCTGCTATGTATCGACCATTCGATCCTTGCATCGTTGGGAGCATTGTCCTCTACGGAAATGAGAAACGAAGCACGAAACGTACTACCACCTCCACCGCCATCGCCGGCGTCGTGGATATCGATCCTTCTTTGTTCTCGTTGTTGAACACGCTTAGACTCGAGCAATTCGCGTGTGCACCCTATGATGGTTACATTACGTGGGCATGTGAAGAAAAACTCGGACGAGTACTTCCTCTATACTCTGTCTCTACCATTCACACTTCCTTTTCATTCTTCGAACCATTTATCTTGAGTAAAGCTTGCCACATACAGGATATGTCCCAAAGTGCTAACATAATATTCTCATTTTTCTCTGCAGCTTGTCTTGTAATATCAATCGATGAAATGATGACAGCTTTGTCGAATAACAGATAAATTGAGTAACCCATTAGAAAAAGTCATTATCTCCACTTGAAATATTTTTTAAGAGAACTGAAATAGTATTTCTTATTCAGTAAGATCTTTTTTTAAATTAAGAAATATTATGTGTGTTTATTAAAAATTCATGTTTTAGTTATTACAAAACGTAATAATACAATATGCTGTAGTATAATATAAAAAATACAATTTCTATTAAAATAGAATACATTTTGCAGCTAGCGAAATATTTTAGCTGATTTTAGAATAAAGTGTTTATCATTTTTATTAAATACTGACAGATATAAGTGTAATTGTAACAATAAGAATTTGCAGATTTAACATCTTTTCTCTCTACAATAGTAGGATTTAATTTCTTTTACAATTAGACTTACCTTTTTTTATAGTTTGCTGTTTTCCATATTTTTGTAACCAAAACATTTGTAACCAAGATATCCAAGAGTTGCAATCTCTTTCCTTTTTTAAATTTTTTTATATAACTACTTTCGCATATTGACTATTCAATTATTCCTTATTTTACATGGCTTTGTACTCCACATCAATTCATTAATTTAGCATAAAAAAAAGTTTTCAAATACATTCGATAATTAGCATCGTACAGATGTTTGCGTTTATTTGTCCGAAAATGAACACCAAAGGCATTAGCATCTTATTAATGTTTCTTTACAAAGGACGCGAGTCTACAATCACGAATAGACACATACTTGTTCTTTCTATGTTTTCGGGGAGGTCATTATTTCAGACCTTTATTACAAACTCCGAGAGTACACTCGATGACATTATACATTCGTGACTGTTGTCCGAAGTCCGAAGGGTGCGCGAACTTGTCTGCTGTCCGCCCTTTCCCATTCTATTTATTTTGTTCTAATTCCAAGCTATCCTATAATGGAACTCGAGTAACTAAATTGAGTCTGCTTTTCCCAGACAGCCAGAAACAACACTGTAGACAAATGCAAATCTACGTTCTCATGCACATTTAATAGAATGCTATATATTTACAACGCGAGGAAATATTCGAGAAATAACCTTCGATCATCAAGATAAATTATTCGCATTTTCGAAAATATCAAATTAGTGTAAAAATTAATTCAGACTACTGCATATTTCATTTTGCTTTAGGAAAATAAAATATAAAATACGCAGCATTCTCGCGGTAATATGATTTTGTTAAAATATTTATAATTTTGAATCAGAGAGAGGAAATGAGAATTAAATATTTGAGATGTGTTCAAAAAATTATATCGTTCCCTTCCCAAGAAGAAATGTGATATATATATGGACATATTTTATACATAATTTTATATAATTATATATATGAAACTTTTTTCCCAGATTATTTCGAAATAAAGATAATATAAAAAAATGTGACTTTCGAGTTATTTTCATGAATAAGTTAGATAAAGATTATATACTCTATCATTAAAAGTAAACTAATTTAATTTCACAGTCCTCAAAATAATACTTGTGTCATTCTTAAGATTTCCAACGAGATCATCACAATACCTTCTACAAAAGTGATATTTGGAATATGTTATTTTTGTAA